GGAGTTCATTCTAGCTCAAAGCAGTTCTAGCTAGGGTTCCTAAGAGTGCTAAATCTTTACAGGAGCAGATACATCATCTGTATTCACAAGGGCTTGGTTGTGACTTGGAACCATGACTTTGGTTTAGCAACCCAAAGTAAAACCAACCGTGCCATCTTGTTTTTAGTTACTTATATAGTTCCAGTAAACATTTTGTAGTAGTCAAGATCATGCATGGCTAGAGAGACTATATAAAGTAATTCACTCCCCCCGAGCTATATACACAAACACACACACAAACCAGTCAACTTGATGTCTAGGTATATCTGTAGGAACACAGTGGCTACATATGATAAGCACTGGATTATGAACCACAAAGTCCTCAGTTCAAGTCTACCAGCTACTTCTCAGGGGAAAGATGAGTCTTTCTGCTTCCCCAAAGATTTAAATGTTTGGAAACCCTATGCTGACTCTCTAAGAGTTGGAACCAACCTAATGCCACTTAAAAAATTATTTTAAAAACCTCAATGTTTCTGAGTCTGAAAATCTTTGAAGGATAAAATCTCATTTTTTTGTCCTGTGTTTGTCTCGAAGTTAACAACCTTTTTGTTAGCTGTCCAGTTCTTATTCTACAGAACAACCAAACTCCCCATAGATAGATATATTAAAGGTTGGTTGGTTATGTGCCATGGAGTTGGCTCCAACTCATAACAGCCCTGCATAGGGTTTCTGAGTGTGTAAAACTTTCTCCCACTGAACAGCTGGTCATTTCAAACTGTTGACCTTGATTTTAGCAGCCCAACTCATAACCACCTGACTACAGGAGCTCGTTATATACAAAGATAGTTCTTATTCTTAGGGTCCCACATGCAAGACATAAAAAAACATTTTGTAGACTTATATATAAAGGAGTACACATAGAGAAAGCACAGGGTTAGAGGGTAGAGGCATTTATCCCCAAGAAATGTCTCCCGAGGTTGTAGAGGGTAGCAAGTCACAAATACCTTGGTCAGATGTCAGGCTGGAGATTTCTTTTGACTCACGAAGCTGCAGGGCTGATGAACCAGAGATCCAGAGATTACCGGAAGATGGCTGGTTCAAATCCAAGAGAAGGATGGCAGATGACGGAAGATAGATGCAGGACACAAAGTCAGCAAACAACTGAAGAGCTTTACCTTCAGTGTCTCTATTTATATGATGCAGATCACACCCTCAACGAAACTCCCTTTCAACTGATAGGCTACTCGTGGCAGATCCCATCAAGGAGGAAATCACCTTCCTGTAAGATCCCATCATGGGCAATTACTATATTATCAGGGCAAACCAGAGAGCCACCTTGATACACAACCTCACCATGGCAGGTCCCTATTTTGTGAGTGGCAGCTATAATACTGAGTGGAAAGATTTCCATAATGGTTTCGCATAAAAACATGTTTGGGACTGCTGAATTCTTGGAGCTCCTGAGAACTATTTCATGTGGTGGTTTTTGTTAAAGAGTTGTTAATGATTGTTTGCAACTCACAGTGACCCTGTGTAGGGTTTCAAAGGCGTGGCTATTGGGTTAGAACTGCCGACTTTTCACTTTGTCAATTAAGTGCTAACCCTTCTGAGCACATTGTAACTCCATAGTTGATAATGGGGAGTGTGTTTTCAGTTTGGATTAATCGTGCTGTTTGAAAATCAGATGGTAATAATCATGTACCTAAGATATTTTATAGATAAGTTTTAACTTAGAATCTGATTAAAACATTTAGTCAAGAATGTGACTATTTGTGCAACTTTTCTGAAAAGGATACTTATTTTAAGGAAATAAAACTGAGATTACACTTCAAAAAAAAATTGTATAATCTTTTTATTAAGAGTATTCTTAATGTAAAGCAAAAGTCTTTTTAAGTTTATTCTCTACCAGAGGGCTTCAAAAATTCATTAAAAAATGCATTTAAAAGATAATGAAAAATTTCCACAACTTTTGAAACCCCCTCAGATATTATAAATCCTTCCTGATGGTTCAGAGATGTCATATACACGTTATGTGACACTGTGTGATCAGCATTGTAGGGCTAACCACAAGGTTGGGGGTTCAAATCTACCAGCTTCCCTTTCGTATCCCGGTAAAAGTTCAAGTCAAATCTGACCCAGTGCAACATCATGTGCATCAGAGTACAACTGTGCTCCATAGAGGTTTCAGTGACTGAATTTTGAGAAGTGGATAGCCACTTCTTTCTTCTGAGACAGCTCAGGTTGTATTCAAACTTTTGGTTAATACTCTAGTGCTTAATTGTTTGTATTTCCCATGACTCCATATGAAGTTGAACTGCTTAATTAGCAGCTTAAACTGACTTTTCAGTCTTGTGCATTAACCCACAGCGCCACAACAAGACTCAGTGACTCCATATTTTGTTGTCATTGTTAAGTGCATTCAAGTCATTTCTGAATCATAGCGACCCTGAATAGGGTTCCCAAAGAACAGCAGGTGAGCTTGAAACACCAACCTTGTAGTTCAAACCAACCTGGCAGTCCAGCACATTAATCTCAATGC